ATATATATATATATATATTAGAAAGATAAATCTATTTCACCAAAATCAAGTTACAACTCTGAGATGGGGGGCCTTCAAGAGATCCCCCTTAAGTAAGAAGAGAAGTGGAGAGGGTGGAGATGAAGAAACAGAGAGATCTAAAGAGTTTTTTTTCCAAGCCTTGCAAGCCAATTAGCAGGTTTGTTCACGTCCCTATAGATAATGGAGAAATGCACATGTAAGAGAGGCCTCATAGAATTGATCTTTCTAACCTATTGAGAAATATGTCAGGGGGAGTGAACAACTTCCTGCAGTAGCTGCAACAGAATAGAGGAGTCCACTTCCACATGTAGTTGCCTCCACTAATTCATAATGACAAATTTGATGGGTCTGAAGACAATAATAAGTTCAGATTCAAGAGCATCCAAAACAAAGATAGGTGCAGAGAAAAACAATAAATAATTCCTAAGATGATTCCTGAAGAGCCCTTCAATACTAGCTCCCAAATTAGAAAAATTTCCATCAGTATTTACCTTTATGGAAGGAAAGTGAGGAGACTTCCTGTAGACTTTGATGACAGAGGCTGAGGGTATGCTGTCAAGACTTAGAATAGAGCAAATGTTGGGGTACCTCTTGTGCTTGATAAGCTTAATAAGAAAGGAAATGCAATGTCTGGCCACTTTATCCACAGGGATGGACTGATCCCAAAACTTGACTTGATTTCTAGCCATCCATAGGAATGAAGCAAGAATCAAAGGGATAAACCCTAACCCAACAACATGACAGCTGACCTAGCAGGAAGAGAGGTGCAACCAGTCCAAATTGATAGTGTCCAGCATCAGGTGTTGTATGAAATCCAATCAAACTTATAGGGAGATTTGACATTCATATAATAGATGGTCAATTGAATCCTCAACAGCCAAACATAACCCACATCCGGAGGGTCCTCTCAGTCCTTTCAGTTTGAGTATATCATCAGTGGACAACAATTTGTGGAAGATTCTCCAGCAAAGAAAAGGCATTGAAGGGGAGAAATTTTTTTTCCAAATGAGCTCCCCCCAAGGCACAATGTCCCAGCTATAAAGTTTGGAATAAATAGAATTAGTTAAGCTCCAAGCCTTACTAGCTTGCCAAACAATATTGTCAGTTTAATGTCAAAATGCACCCTGGTAATTTTTCAGCAGAAGAAGCTTGTAGAAGAGTTTGCAAGATAGATTCAGACCATTGGTCACCAATCGAGCAGCCAACCACTTTAAGATTGGGGTT